CTACTGGTTGGGAAAGTTGACGGGTGCCATCAACAGATTGGGGGACAACTGCTGGTTGGGAAAGTTGACGGGTGCCATCAACAGATTGGGGGACAACTGCTGATTGGGAAAGTTGGCAGGTGCTGTCAGCAGATTGAGAGACAAGTGTTGGTTGCAGATGTGGAAATTGAGCACTAGTAACAGTGGTGTGAGGGACAACTGATGTTTGTGGAATCTGGCTGATGGGAACAACAGAGTGAGGAATAACTGTTGGTTGTGGAAGCCAACTGGCAGCAGAATAAGGGACAATTTGACCATTAGTCATAAAACTTTCACAAGCAGGAGTCTGAACCTCACTAAGCTGTATAGTCTGTTGTACTTCTGTAGAGCTGCATTCTTCAAAATCTACTAGTTCAGATATTGGTACCCCAGACTGTTTCAATGCTTCTGAAGTGCACAACACATTTTCTTCCCTTGGCATACCATTGGTAATTAGTGGTTTCTGGATGTGACATGGAGAGCCAGCTGAATCTTTTCTGAATAATCCTTCAGAAGCAATTTGGGTGCATTCAATACATGTGACCTTTAAAAAAAATTCCCCATAAGATAGTGTGAAAGTTTTTCACAAGTATTCATCATAAATATAAAAATGTATTTCCTAACAAAATAATGAAAGAAATAATGTTTTCTTATGATAAAGAATAGGTTGAATAACAAACTACACTTTTTTTTATCACAAAAATCACTAATTTTATCAATATTCATTATCACTTTAGAGAAATTCATGCTGGGAGACTCAGCTTGTTCTGCTTTGTACAGTTTAATCTGTTTCAAGTAATTTATAAAAATATTGATAACAGTTACCAAAAATATATATACTATATTAATATAACACTAAAACAGAGACTTAACTATTTCAGCATGGGCTCGGTCCCTGGGACCAGCTTCGTAACTATTTTGTGCTTGTTATAGTTTATGCTACAACTTTTAAATTAGTAAATGAATGTTAAGGAAATTTGGCAGATTATTAGTAAACATTACAATATGCAAAATATTTTTGTTATTAAGTCTTAAGGTTTGTTTTTCTCATGTCTTATTTATTTTATTTACACATGTTGTCTATCTATAATGCAAAGTAATATTCATTTGAAGATTAAAAATACTTCCATGCATCAGAAAATTTTGAAATTTCACATGCAAAATATTTATAATGTCCGGATAGTTATTCAACACTTGTTAAAAACTTTTATCTGTTATTTTCAGTAATTAATCTCTGTATGGGTTCAGTAGATTTGACCGATCTCGCAACAACCATACAAAGTTAGGAAATAAATATAAATTATGCCTCTTTCATTCTAGAATGAACACAAATAACATTAAAACATAAATGTTTAGACTAAATAGCTTAAATCTCATAACGTTATACATTTATATATATTTATTATATTGATCTTTCAGCCATGCCTGGCTAACAACACAAAAGTAACAATGACGTGGCTCACATGCACTCGTGTTACCGTATCAAATAACAAAACTGACCTTTGGTCTGTACAAAGTAACTTGTCTGGGCTGTTTTTTAGTAGACTAGTATTTTGTAAAATACAGTCACATTAAAATTATACATTATATATGTATATAGATTGATATTTTGAAACAAGTTCTTAAACTTATTTTTCTTAAAACATAGAACAGTAACTAAAGAAGCAAACAGTTATTTCTTCTAGTTACAACCTTTGTACTTCATTGCTACTTGACGTAGGCTACTAAGCCTTTAAAAAATCATAAATTACTACATTAACACCACAGAATTCCCTTATAATTTATCAAGCTTAGTAACTACGATGTATTTTAGTCTAAAAAACATGAAATTTCAAGCAGACTAAAGACACGCCCTACCTAATTGAAATATTGGCTCAAAAGAAAGAATTGGCACCAAGCCCATTAAAATGGCTGAGAAAGCCACTGGGGGGACATTCTGAGCTTTAGATTGGTTATTCATATCATATATAGAAGTGTATATAAGAGAGTTTCCAAAAATGGAAAGAGATGGGTGAGGTTCTTATTTTATATTCTAGCTTGACAATATAAATAATTTGAGTTTCTAATTCTTATGAAACTAGACTTAGTATTTTGACTTCAAACATTTAATTTAAACCAGTGCTGCATTTATCTGTTTTTTTAACATTTATTTTTGAATTAGGAAACTGAGTAATATATAGTACTAAACTTTGATTTATAATCTACAGTTTGATACTAAAGTTATTGACACAAGTTCATGAAATAGTAGTTCAATAAAATTTTGAATGAGAGTCAAAAAATGAGATGAGATGGCCTTTTACCCATGACCCATCTGTAAAGGGTTAATGAATGATTGTAATAATAATAAACCACGATTAAGTAACCACAAACCATACATGCTACATGGAGTAATTTCTTTAGGGATCCCCCAATGAATTGTAGTTTCTGCAGAGATATATATATGTTTTCATTAGAAAAGAAATCCACTAACCCAAGCACTTTCAAAAAGTCCACTTTCCAAAAGTACTTGTGTTAGTGGGTTTTGTTTCTGATGAAAACTTTTTTTCTGTTCCTCCTGCCTGTTTTGGAATAGGTGTAAATTTTCATTGGTAATCAAATGAAAAAAAGAAAAAAAGTTACATGAATATCTATATCTACAAACGGACCAATTAAATTCACAACAGCCAATATTTCATAATATTTGTAAATTATTTTAATTTCCTTCTAATGCAAATCTAAAGGTCTTTACTAAATTACACTGCCGAATAAAATATGTGAAATAGTTTATTAATGTTTCTTTGTTGTTCATATCTGCTTCAATATCAATACAAAACTTTTGAACAAAAGAACTTTCTAAACCTAAAGTTTCACTGTTGAAGTCCTGTATACTACAAAATTCACACACACACACACACACACACACTGTTATTTTTTATTTGTGGTAAACGTAAATTATAGTAGAAGATAACCCGTGCTAAAGGTCAACTAACCTGTTAGAAAGTTAATTATTAGATGAAGCTTACTCCTACCCTACCAAAATGTATCTGTTTCCTAATCCTGCCATTCTCACCATTAAGTAGGAAAAAAGTTGTGTTGACACTATCAATTTCCTTAATAATCTTGTACATCTCAATTAGATCCCCTCTAACTTCTTTTCTCAAGAGAAACTTTCAGTGATCTCAACCTGTACTTGTATACAACCTTTCAATCCAAGGTATCATCTTGGTGGCCCTTCTATGAATGCTTTCCAACAATTCAATGGGTAAGAAACCCTCAAGATTGAATACAATACTCCAAATATGGTCTAACTGGTGACCTATACAATAAAATTACAACCTATTTAGACTTGAATTCAATATTTCTGTAGATACAACCTAAAATCCTATTTGCCCTGCTATTAGTAAAAAACAGTACTTATTCGATGGCTTAAGAGATTGATCAACAGGAATATAAAGCTTTTTTCCCCATAACACTCTTAAGGTTATTTCCATAAAAGTTACACTTACAATTAAAATTATGATAACCTTGCATCTATTACAATTAAAACCCATCTGCCATTTATTTGCCAAAGTCATTAAATGATGCAAGCCCTTATGTAAATCAGCAGCATCCTCCTTACAGCCAGCAACAACCAAGACCTCAATATCACCAGCAAATTATAAATAATTTATTGAATATTTCCTTAAGCTATGTAATTGGGGTACATTCATGCGCAACATTAATCCAGTTTGACTGAGCTGTCTTTATAGCAACCCTCTGCTTTCTTCTATCCAGCCACTTTTCTATTCAATGATGAAATTTATCCACCTCATCTACTTTTTTTTTTTTTTAACATGTCTTATCCAAATACACTAAATATACACACATTTACCCTCATCTACATAAGCAGTAACTTTTCAAAGAATGTCAAAAGATTAATTAGTAAGGCAAGATTTTCTGACTGGTGTAACTATGTTCACTTTTCAAAAAAACTGTAAACTTTGTTAAATGGCTTTAGAAAGCATCTTTCAGACTTTCCAAAACTTTCCCACAACTGATGTAAGACTAATGGGTTTATAATCACTAGGACAATTTTTAGCACCTCCATTGAAAAGAGTAACTTCCAATTTTCTGGCACCTGCCCATTATTTAAGGGCTAACAAAAAATAGCAACAAGTAGCTGACATATCTAATGACTTAACCTCCTTCAAAATACCTAGCCCAGGAGACTTATTATTCTTTAAACTTCCAATTGTTTATTAACAAGTTCAAAAGTACTTTCTAGCAACTGTTCAAAGCAGAATACTGCTTAAATCTTTAGTAAAAATTAAAGGTAGAATTTAATAACCCAGCCATCTCAAGCAGATGGCTGCCTTTTATCATCCCTCAAAGAGCCCACTCCCATCCTAATATTTTGATTAACCCTAATGTATTTAAAGAAATTCTCACTGTTAATTTATATTTTTCAGTCAACCTTTTTCATATACCCTTTTCAATTTCCTAGTTTCCTGTTTGACCAACACCATCTTTTATAATCCTCCAAGTTTCTTATAGCAGTCAATTTAAAACTTCACATTTATGATGCTTTAATTTTACACAAACACTTTGTCAGCCAACCAAGTTTACTTCCAACCACACTTTTTATTTCTATAAGAAACATATCTATCTTGAATGTTTAAAAATCTATATAATTAAAAGAACACTGTGTGCCAACAAGTCCATGCAAATGTGTGTGTGCTTATTCACATGGAAATCCAATATTCCTACTGGCTAATTGTGCAATGGTAGTTTTACGTTTATGCAAGTGCATTGTTCTAAACAAATGCAGAACTATTATATTCATAATATTAACTTTAAAGACAACTATTTCAGTAACAAAGAAACATGTAAGGAAACACATTAAGTTAATTCTTTACCAATCCATGGCTCCAAAATAATGCAATATCGTTAAGTCTCAATACAGATTCTAACAGGACCCTAAAAATAAATAATCGAACCTACAGTTTAAACACAATTCATATGGAAAGCACAAGTTTACCAACTATAACATCTACAGTAATTAGTCTTAATAGTCACTGCCACAACTTCATTTTGAATGCACTACAGCTAACACATTGAGCAAAAAAATAAAAAAAATACAGGTTTCAGATGACATACATACGTGATTTAGACATGTGTACATAGATAAAATTTATGAAACAAAAACAAACATTATGACAATTGATCTTTACCCTTTTTTTATTTTTTATTATTATTTTTGCACTGTTATATGTTTACAACGATATCTCTACTTCAACACAGGAGCCTAAAAATAGACAATTAGGCCTAAAACTAATTATATTTCTCATAAGTCATTATGTTAGGCCTATATCTAACATTACATTCTTAATCTAGTCTTACAGATTTTTCAAGAATTAAAATGTATAATAGTATTTCAACCATTATGTTTGTCATATCTATTCCTAATGACACATTTCAAAGCTCTGCAGGCCAACTGGGATAGAACAAACACAGTAGTGGTTGGAATACTATTTATATAAGCCATTTGTTACAACAACAGTTGTTATGGTGTGAACACCTTTTAGAAGCTGGCAAAGCATAATATAATTATAGCTGCTATAAAATATTATATTAGGCCTATTATGTTTTTTAACACTAGATTACTAATATAGTCCCTTACAGATTTTCAAAAGTTAGAAGAATTGTAGTAACATGTATCTATATAAATAGTATTTCGACCCGTACAGTGTTTGTTGTATCCCAGTCTGCCTGAATAATTACAGACTGAGCAAAATGCATAGTCAGAAATAGCTATTAAAAATATAGGGTGCTTGAAATATTATATGCCCTTATAATTCTTGTAGATCCATAAGGAACTAGATTAGGAATGTAGTGTTAAAAAATGTAATAGTTTACCCACTAGGGGAATAAAATACTAAGCTATTTCCATTATTGGTGGTAGTGGACCCAACCTTTTAATACTTTAGGGGAGAGTAAATAGTTGATACCATTATGGAAAGGAAAAACAAGTGAAATAGCAACAAAGACAGTTGATTTCTACACTTCTTGATACCATAATTTTGAAAATTCACTTTTGTTTTATCAAAAAGTTTGATGAAAAAAAAATCAAGATGTTAGATAAAAATGATTATCCAGACAGAGAAGGCATTCATACAAAAAACGTTTCATACAGAGATATGTTTCATTTATAATCATTCCATGTTTAAAACACATACTTTAAAACTAAGTATAACTACATATTCTGGTCAATGTTTTTTGTTTCATTCATGTCCAACTGCATAATACAATAGCATTATTTTCAAGATTTATGTATTTAAGACACTTACCCTTAATTATATATATAATTGGCTATAGTTCAATTCATCTATATCCCCCCCCCTTTTTTCCCCTAAACAATGTTTTAGTAGTCAAATCATTTTAGTACATACTTTGTACATAGAGCACAAGTCTATCCCCTAGTGCATCTTTGAATATTCAAATTCACAACTTTAATTCAGCAACAATTCACAACATATAATTCTTGTTGTATCCCTTCAAATTTTCAAAAGAAATCATTCCTGAACACCATTTTCAATAAAACAAACCTAAAACAGCAATGATCACTTTCATACAGATTTTCCTCAAATGTCACCTTCTCTATACTTTCTATATCAGAAGATAACAATAAATCTAAAACAACTTTGTTCTTAGTAGGTTTCCTTACCAAATGATAAAGAAAACCATGCTAAACAGTTTCTAATAATCTGTTTCCCTCACGGTATGTGTTAGGATTTTTGTTTTTGTGTATGGGCTGGATTCTTTACAGTAAGTGTCTGACTTGTTGGTAATAAATTTCAACAATAAACAAACAGCACACGGTCAACTTGTTTTAAAACAATATATTAAAACAAGTCAAATGTATATACACATTTTTGTTACACTGTTGGCTATCACAGTTGGCTATTGAACACCATTGAAAAGACAAATTATTCTTCTATACTATGTTATTACAATACAATCTGTGATAATTTCATTTAAAAAAATTTCCACTATATACTTTATGGATAAACTCAATCACACAGTCTAGATCTATCTTTCAAACTGAATTTTCGATGCATATTTATACACCAACAAAGGTCTAGAACATTCCACACAACTAGATATTATGATGCAATAATACTCAATTAGAATGAGAAAAGCTCACAAGGTTCTAGTAATATAACGCAATAATATAACCCTTAACAATTCATAACTATTGAACTATACACAATGTATATATAATTTGCAAAAAGTTATATATAAACAAACCTACGATAAACTATTGCTTCTAAAAATAACTAAGTTTAACATTCAAACTATATAAACCATTAAAATCACAACACTCCCATTAACCTTAAACTGAAAATGCTTTGCATATCTAACAGTGACTAAAACTTCCCAATATATATATGCCTGAAATTAAAATCCTCATAATTAAGAGTTAATCAACTTCAGCTTAATCTGGTGGTGTGTAATGAATTCTAAGTAAAAGCCTTCTTCCCGTATAACTGCTAATAGTAACATAAATAACACCTCCTTGCTATTAGTTTGTATATCCTCAACTTGAACAGAATATAACTCACTTTATATAAAGCCACTTTTTTAGTACTTATTAAATACCCTACAATACCACAATATTTCAAAGAAATGTCATCAAAACTGTATGTTTATCCAATTTAAAGCTATTTTCTCTCTTCCAATTAATGCTCTAGTCTTTCATTTCTTATACTACTAGCATTACAATAATAGCAGTTTAGTCTACCTTAAACATTACTTCAGTACTTTATTCCTAAACTGTAATACTCTGTAAATCACATTTTTCCTTCATTTAGTTTATTATAGCTCTCACCACTGCCTATTCTTGGTTTAAAGCTACCCTTACAGTTAATAACCTTTACTATCAAGCCAGCCCCTACCCTATTTAAACGTAAACCATCCATTCAAAAAAGCTCTTTTCCTATTTAATTCCTTAAGTCCAAACAACTAATCTGCTCACCTTTACATATTAACCTAAGCCTAACATTCAGTCCTATTAACCTACTTATAATTTCATCCCCACAATTAAGTCTCAAGAGTACCCCTGAAAGAATTAAATTATTATGGACCTTTTTTTTTGTTAAATGCCTTTATCAGTGCCTTGTACTTAATGTCCTCTGGGTACTTCCCTACATTAGTAGTCCCCTATGTGCACTATAAAGACTACATCACTTGTTGGTACCCTTCACTATATCACTTGCTATGTCATTTATATCCTCTACCTCTGACCCTGGATAGGAGCAGCTTGACAGACATTAATGCCAGGAAGAAGAAAATATATGCTTTCGAACTTTTTATGAACAAATGAGAGTCTACTTTGATATACTCATGCCATAACAATTTTACTTATAGTATCAATAACCATGAAAATTTTAGTCAAACTATACAGATTACATGAAGAAATATGAATGGCATGCAAGTCAAACTTGTAGCAAATTTTTTGTGGTATAATTGGTTTGTGGCACTACATTTATACATGATCTCTATATTAAGACATAATGACAATGGATGTAGTCACCTATTGATCATATTATATAGGCCAAGCTATTCAAATAGTGTTAAATTCAATTGACAATACAACCATTAACTCTAAAATTTATAAGAGTAGTTTGGAGACTAAATAAAATCAGAAATACTTGCATAAAATCAACACATCTTTGACTTGGGTGGTAAGTCAACGGTGTTCAAATTTACCAACAACTAATTATTGTATACTCTCCATTATACGAGACATTCTGGTTAGATCAAGCTGTACATAGATAAGTTAATGACATATATCTTGCAATCCAGTAATGGTACATAATGTTTAGAACATAAGCTAAAATATGACCTCAGTAAGCAAATATTTTGTGCAATATGACAAGAGTTACAAATATCATAATATATTACAATAAATAATATCTGGCAATACCATCCTTTATTTATATCTAACAACTGACATTTGCTTAACAATTTCATATTTTCATGAAGTGGCAACATTAAGTAAAGATACTATCATCTTTAAATTAACTCCAAAAATACAACTTACAGGTGCTGTCTTAGGTCCTCCTTGTTGCTGATGTTGAGGTAAGACAGTCTGCCCATCTATATCATTAATCACTGTTGATGGTAGGATGGTATCAGAGACACTAGGTATTCCAGAACTACTATAAGCTGCAGAAGTTAACTCGGCCAGTTTCTGCTGCAGACTACTCAAATCTGGCACATGAGGCAGGTTCTGTGATTGGTGAGTGATAGCACTGCTGCTGCTAATTGTGCTTTAAATAAATATAAAACCAATATGATTTTTTTTATAAAGCCTCACAAGTTGCCAACAAAATCAAGGTTATAAAAACTTGTCTACATTCAAATATACAAATTTTTGCAATGAACCACAAAATTAAAAATTGTATTATTTTTACATCTCAGGATTCAGTTTAATTAATAGCTTAAACTTTCTTTAATTTGACCTATATTATGCAACTTTTAACTTAAGTTTTCATCCAAAAACAAAATTGCTCTGGTTTGACGGAGATCACAAAATAAAAGTAGATAATTTTATCTGGTGCACATTCATGTATATGAAATCTGAGTTCGAGATTTTATTGTTTTAACATTCATTATAAAGCTTTCCCAAAATTAAATTCACTTTTAAGTTCTAAAATTCTCTTAAGCTTTAAGAAACTGATATAAATGTAAATCGACAGTCTAAGATTGTGTTACTTACAGTTAGGAAATTATTCAATATGGTAAATTATCCATAGGCAACAATTACATTGATTAATGTCAAAATAATCAAGTAAATCATTTTTAACAAATATAATTAACTAATCAAAATTAGTGTTTTTATTTATTTAACCAATTCAAGTAACTGAAATATTGCCATTATGATTTCTTAGTTTAGGTTAATTCAAGATTGTTCAGCTTAATCTATTAGTGTCATGATTCATGAAAATAATCAGCTAATCAAACTTAATATTTTCTGCTCATTACTCTTTTCAATTATTCCAAATATCCAAGTTCCATGTGAAAGCAATCCATTAGTTGTAATCAACTGATTAAGGAGCCTAATGATTAAATTTATCACATTCCACTAATCATCCAGCTCTCATTTAAAACTAAATGTGGAATCTAAAGTACCTTAGGTATTATAATAGTACGAATGAAATAAAATTTCAAGTACATATAAATCAATAATATGTACTATACTAGTCATACTTTAACATTTTAATTTATTTTATGTCATGACAAGGAAGCTTTATGGTAATTAGGTTTGCTTTACACAAACTTCTGGAAGATGTGTTTCTTCAACTCTCATTGGCCATAATGCTTATGCAATTACTGTCATATTACAGCTGAAAATGTATTTAACAATGAGGATACCCAACTGATGAATCAATGCACTTCAATCATGAGATCATGAGACTGTATTTACGCGATTGGTATACTACATTACCTATATTAGTGACTGAGTTGATTTATATTTTTTTTAACTTCTGATCCACATAGCTTGCTTTGAGTCAGAAATTAATGATAATTACATCTGTATACATATAGTTACAGAAGCACCATAGCATTTATGTATCAACTTTTTAACCCGAGCACTATTTTACCAATAAACAAAACAATGATCGAAACTCAATGCTGAAAAAGCAGTAAACATGACTATGACTACTGTACAAATTAACTAATCCATACCAATATCCAACTATATAATTTGAAATAACAGAATCAATAACATGAAGTTAATGCTACTTTTACAGATTAATTCTTTTCATGTACTTAATTTCTATAACATCATATTCTTAGTTGTTCTCTTCACAACACATACATTCTCTTAATGGGTAATGTACATTTAGCCACATTTATATCACCGTTAAGTGACTTAACAGGATTTAGGGGTACGAGATTTTTTTACATAACGATTACTATATTTGTTTTGTTTTTTGTTGTTTTTTTTCTATATACAGTGATAACCAATTGAACTAGCTGTTCAAAATTATAGCAAATGCAAACTACATATCAGCTACAGCATGTCATGCTGGGCAATAAAATGGGATTATCATTTAACACAGCTTTGGTATTCCAAATTATGGATAGTAATGAATAAATTAGTAGTTAGTTTATCATACTGTTTTGTCTACTTACAAAAAAATTAACATTTTTTACAAATCATACAAAAATTGCAAAATTTATCTTCCTGACTAAAGAAAAACAAAACTAAAACTAAGTTCATGGGGCACTTTTCTACAATCAGGTTTTTTCAATAAGCAAAACCATTTCTCAGAGTACCAAATCACAGTAAATAATACAAAGTATTGCTTGCTAAAAATGCAAGAGTTGCTCTTTGATCTTACAGCTAAGTAATTCTTAGAAAAAAATATGAAAAATGACATGTAAATGTACATATAAAAGCCAACTGACAATTCTTAAATGTTCAACTAACCTATGATCTGCCTGCCCTACCAAGCTACTTGTTCCTACTCCACCATAAGCTGAAGAGCTTGCCCCCAAGGTACTGTCTTCATTGGATCTTGTACTTTCAGAAAGAGTGTGTTGGAATTGTAAAGATTTTGTATCAGGTCCCAGCTGGTAGTCACCAACATCTGCCATTTTTCCTGTCTGGTTCATTTGATTTGTTGGATAATCTCCCTGCAAGTTCATAATCATAAAAGGCAATAATAAAAGTTTGTTCCTATCAAATAGTTTTTGGCCAGCTAAGAAACAAATTGGATGTTAATCTCCACACTAATATCTACACTTGTCTTTTGTTATGCATTTGCAAATTGACATAACAATTCTAGTTACAGCATGTTGAATCATTGTAATGTTAATCAAATTATAGGATATTTTAGGAATAATTTCATTTTGACATGTTGTAATGTAAGTTATAGCACCCACCCTCTTTATTAAAGGTTACTTTTACTTTCTTTTTTATCGTCATTTTAATCCTAAAATCAGGAATAATACAGAAATTAGCATCTCTTTTGGTAATCAAAAAAACTGGCAAATGATAACAAGCACCACAATTGCCTCAACTTTTTCAGCATGGTCTCGGGCCCTGGGACCGACCTCATAACCAATTGTGCTTGTTGTAGTTTTCATGCTATCTATAACTTAAATTTGTAAGCATATGTTAACAAAATTTGGCAGATTATCAGTAAATATTACAATCTTTCATATGCAAAATATAAAATATGTTTATTAAGTCTAAAGGTTCGTAAAGCAATGTTTTTCTCATGTCTTTTTTTTTTCTTTTCATATCTTGCCTATCTATCATATAAAGTAATTTTCATTTTAAGATTAAAAATACTTTTATGAATCAAAATTTTCAAATTTAACATGCAAAATCTTTATAACGTCCAGATAGTTAAACATTTAAGAAAAAAACTTTATATTTTATCTTTTTTTAGTAATTATTCTCTGTACGGGTTCGGTAGATTTGACCGATCTCGCAACCACCATAAAAAATTAGGAAATAAATATAAAT